AATCACGGATCGCTGGATAAACTGTTAAGACTGCAATGTTTTCTTTACTCATTATGTAAAAGGTTTGTATACACACAAACTCATAACTCAGATGATGCTATAACCATATGCGTCCCGCGAGATTATCTTTCGATATTGTCTTTTCCTGTTTCACCCGGAGGCATAACATAGGGAAACGTGTGGTTGTTTGAACATTTTAGAGAATGTTGAGTTCTGCCAAGGATCGTAAATAGTCTGGCCCGCCATACTTTACTGGGTGTAAGAAAAAATATTGTTGTAATTCTACTCGGTGGGATACTAAAATTCTATGACCGTCCTTTATGTTTCCTATTGTTTATTACAATGAAGATAAAGTTTCTCTCTTTATATATAAAAATAATCTTAAATATTTTAATGAGTTGTCAAAATTCACGCAAATCAATGTATAAGGTTTCATCCAGAAATTCGAAAATAGAATCTCGCAAAATATCATTTTTATAACTTTCTTTGGGAAAATCATACACTTCGGAATTAGGAACACCACAAAAATATTATATTTTTTTCTTTAATCTAGTTTAAATGATAATTTTTTTTATCTTTACGATTACGTCGAATATTTAAATTAAATTAAAATATCATTTCTAATAACAAATTTTAATATAAATATAAAATTAAAAATTATATTTTACTTTCCTGGTGACTGCATTGATTTTTTTTAATAGTAAGTTTGACGATATGAAGCTAATTTTCTGAAGTGTTTTCCTTCCACACGGGGAATTAAATAATATATTAATTTTAAACAAGGTAAAANCAGTAGGGAATTTTTACGTATTTTCTTCACTTGTGCCAATGTAGAAACTCTTCGAGTTAAAAGAGCTGATTACTTTTTAAACACAATCGAAAACAGTTTTATTCTCGTGTTGTCGTAATTATACATTTGGTAGAAAGCCTTACGCAAATCTTATCGTCGTTACGTCAAACTAAAAAGAAATTTTTAAGTTATCTCGACTATTGAAACATACAAGCAGCACTACAATCGTATATAGTGAAGAACATAGGATCTACCAAGCACCTTAATCCTGTTATCTACCCTATTCTCTGGAGTGCTATAGGATGTCTCTGAAGTATCGGATGTCGGAGAGTGATACTTCGCCAATATATTATTTTAAATTTAATAGTAAATTTCTATATAAAAATATGCAAAAAATATATATATATAATTTATTTTTATATCATTTATTATAATTATTCCGAATAAATTAAATATTTATTCATTTTATTTTAAGGAAAAGAAAAAATAATAATAATTTAAGAAGTTTAAGATTATTGCTTGAATATTTTAAGGCGATTTGCAGAAAATTTGGCAAGGATTTTAGAAAAAGCGAAATGTCTTAAACGTTGTAAAGGCTGAAATATAATTTATGGGAAGAAACATTCCGTCCAATAAATGTATAGAAAACTTTGTGTTGGGAAAAAATAAGTTGAAGTTATTAGAAGATATTTTATTAAAAAATGCAGATAAAATATTATTACGTAATTCATCAATTCAGTGTTATAAGATATCTCTATCCGTAATAGAATTAAACAGAGCGGGAAGATTTATGATTTAATAAAAAAAAGATATAAAATATTAAGAAGATGAATTTAGAAATGTTTAAGAATTAAAAATGATTATCTTAAGCTGACATTTGTACGAATTCGAAACGGCTTCAATTGAATTCTATAATGTTTTCGGAGTTTCTAAATATTTAAGAAGTATTATATTTTAAATTTGCGGTGTTTGAAAAGTCGGAAAAATATGTTTAAACTTTGCATAAAAATATCCGTATTTTTCACAAATCCCTCAACACAATCTTGTTTATCCAGTAACATAAAAGTTTCTCCTCAGAAATGGAATTTTTGATTTTATTTTGTTTTCTTCATCCGACTCCCTTATTCTAAAGAAATAATATATAGATGAAGTAAGAAAAAAATTCAGTCACAAATCTAAAAGTCCAACTTGGATCATTTGATGGGAAACGGACCGTACATGTTTATTGATTCGGCTGATTGTGGAAAGAGAGAGTAAAGTGCATCGTGTCGTCTAAACGTTCAGCTCCTCCCCGTCTAGTTCGTGATGTATCTCCGTTGTGCCGCTAGATAATTCTTGACAATGTGTTTGTCCAGCGATGATAGAGAAGACCGCACCGAGTCCCTAAGTGTCATAGCACTGGGCATGCGTACGGCTTACCTCTTCTATCGGGCCCTCTCTCTTCCCCTATCGAAGCAGGGTCTTAGTGTGAGAGCCCCAACTGGCAGTGACAGGCAAGCCAAAAGATGAAAAACCTGCAATCGACTAGTAGGCTGTATATGGAACATCAGCGCCACAACGTCAGATAAATGAACGATAACCCCACCAAATCGTCCAAATCCACTAAGCGAAAATTAGTCTTATAAACAATCGAAAAATATAAAAAATATATATATTGACCAGTCGATAATCGACTGTTTCGTATCGCTTCTATTTAAAAGAAAATGAAGAAGAAGCCAATGAATAAGAGAAGCAATTAGCTAAATGTGGATTCTACTCTTAAAAAAATTTAATCAAGATGTTACGAGAGTTTTACCTTAATGGAAATTATGTTTTCTGATTGAAGTTCGAAAATTACGAAAAAATACATTACGTGAAATTTTAACATCTGCGGAGTTTTCAAAGTACTTTATGAATTCAATATACAAAGAATTGCACTTAATAATAATTTTATAGTCGAGTAGATTAATAAATTTCCAAAAAATTACGTCGTTTATTAATAATAGCCCATCCTTAAATGGCTATTTTTCAAGACTAGATAAAGACAGCAATAAAACACAGTCGAATTAAGAAAAAAAGAAGTTCGAATTTCGAGTCTTCTAATTTAAAAAACGTACTTAACTTCAACTAATTTTCGAAGCGTTTTAAATATTTATATTATTACCTGAATTTAAAATTTTGTTAAAGAAAAAAAGATGAAGAAATTGCCACGGCGGAATGTCGCTTAAACAGCTTATTTAGTAAAGAAACTAAAAATAACGTTGTGTTGGACTGAAATTGTTAAAAGGCTTCATTAGAAGAGACAATTTTAAATTTTTACCAAGAGCAATTTGTACTGGCGTCATTGTTGCTAGTTCGCATTGCTTTATTATTTAATTAAATATAATTAATTTTGGAATTAACATATATTATTGGTAAATAGTTTGGGAGAAAAGATTAACAAAAGTTGATCCCGCGGATTAATTAATGAAAAAAGAAAAAGCAAGTTGCTCTGGAGATGGGACATTCTAGTGTTATTCTCGCAGAATTGCCAATTCTCTAAACGGACCGCTATTCTCTAGAGTGACGTTGTAAACTCTACGAAAACAACTTAGATCTTAAGACTTTAAGCCAATTGTAACATTTAGTAATAAATGTTTTGTTTACTTTTATTTTTTTTTTATTTAGACAATTTGAGAAATATTCGAAAAATGAATTGATTCTCGAACGTAAAATTTGTATTCGTATCATTCTACGAATATGATTTCTGGTACGTCAACTATTCGGGATTATCGTTGTAATTTAAAAATGAAATTTTCCAGTATTGATGTCGCGGTGTGTGATATCACGAAAAGAAGTAGATTGTGATTGCTACACAAACATTGCATAACGCAAACTGCGAATAGCGGTTGTGCGTGAGACATTGCTAAAGCAGCACAGAATAATGAGGTATTTTCCAGCGCTCTGAACTTTGCGAAAAATCGATGGAAATATTTCAGCCCTCCACATGAAGGCGCCAGTCATTGCACATAGCGTGCGTACTTTGTGCATAGAAGTGCGTAAACAATGCGTCTTCGGTCGGAATGGAATCCCTTCGATCTCTCTTCTCCAATGAGCTTACCGCTGCAAAAAAAAGGTGCGGTTGATCTTAAAGAGAGCACTTACGCCGAAAGACCTTGCACTTGTTTTTTTGCTTATTTTAATTATTTTTAATTTTTTCACACAGATCTTTCTTCTCTTTTTTTTCCCACCAAAATAATTCTGACTTATTAGTCGATTTTTTAAACAAATTTCTTTCTTTTCGTTATTTAAGTTTTTATAGGAATCATTTTCGTATTATTACAATTTACATTTATTCTTCACCTGAAGAAATGTTGCAGTAGGGAATTTTTACGTATTTTCTTCACTTGTGCCAATGTAGAAACTCTTCGAGTTAAAAGAGCTGATTACTTTTTAAACACAATCGAAAACAGTTTTATTCTCGTGTTGTCGTAATTATACATTTGGTAGAAAGCCTTACGCAAATCTTATCGTCGTTACGTCAAACTAAAAAGAAATTTTTAAGTTATCTCGACTATTGAAACATACAAGCAGCACTACAATCGTATATAGTGAAGAACATAGGATCTACCAAGCACCTTAATCCTGTTATCTACCCTATTCTCTGGAGTGCTATAGGATGTCTCTGAAGTATCGGATGTCGGAAACTAACCTCATTTTGAAATGAAATTTTGCTTTCATAATAAACTACAGTTCAACCTACAAACTGCATCCTTTAATTAGAATAATCGATAATAAAATTCAAATGTCAGTGACATTTTACACATTTTTCAATTAAAATTCTCTTCTAAAGTCGCTTAATTATCGAAACCTCAATCTTAGTTCTAATGATAAAATTGGCCATGCTTTGGAATAGCATAAACTAATAACAAGATTACGAGAAAATAATTATAATTACGCCAAAATTTAATATTTTTCTAAGGTTTCTTAATCACGAAAACCAATACCTGAGCATATTTTAAGACACAACAGTCGACTTCTTCATTTATTTCTAGTGCTTCGGAAACCTTTAAAACACCTCTTACACGAGCCTCATATTCTGTATTCCATTACTAAATAATTTTATTTATCTTAGTAATTTTATTACGAGGAAATATTTGAAATTATATTAAAATAATTATTAAAAAAAAATTTTTTTAAACGTGAAAATTGTTTAATCAAATGTACGAATGGAGAAACGATCGGGACTTACCTATACCTTTTCCGTCTGTCCCAATTTAAAGAGGAAGTCGAAGAAGTAAGACGGTTTCTCGGATACGTTTGTGCCTGATTAATAATTAGAAATAGTTTTTATAAATAGTCGAATGTAAAGTGCAGGTCGCACGAACATGAGATCAATATTCCAGAGCTACCTCAGACTAGATAGAGACTAGTTGGTTTCATATACCCGACTGTGCTTCTCCAGCATTGCACTGCTTCTCTTACGTCCAACACTAGCGACCGTGGCTCCGTCTGATGGTTAAAGCTAGAAGCATTTTCTGGAAGAGGACGCCTGCGCTCGCTAAACAATTAAATATTCCGTTGACTCGCATTCGCTTCGTAATTAAAGCCATGTGTTTGCAATTCTTCTAATTCGGTGATTATTTGTACTTTTTCTTTATTTAGGATTAACGATAAATAACGTTTTTTTTTCCTTCCTTTTTTTCTGTTTGCTTTTATATGTTTCGACTAAAATTTATCGCTTCTTGTAAACGATATCTTTTCTTATTGTATAAAAATTCTATCCGTGTCTAGTAGAAGAGCCGATTTTAAAATGATAATTTGACTTTTTTTTTCAAAAAATGGTGAAGGAATAGTGAATAAAACGTCTTGGATATTCGGCGAATGGTCATTAGGCCAACTCCTATGGTATCGAGCCTATTCAATGAGTGGTAATCAAAGCGAAATTAGCATCGGATCAGGTTGTCGAAAGGGAAATTCTTGAGATAAACAATATACATGTTGTCTTAATAATGAGATCTTTAGTTTAAATGGCAGTTTGTATCGAATGTAATCTTCGGTGTACAGGTCAATGAAAATTCTTATCTCTTTCAACATCCAGTAACAGATATTACCTGTGAAACCTAGGGATTAGTTTCCACTTCTGTACTTTGTAATCTCGCCAGGGAACAGTCGCCTTACAGATATGTTTGTCATAATGTCTCTAGACCACTCCATCTGTAACTAGAAAATCCCAAGTGATACTTTGCATTTAACAAAGTTGTGTGTTCCTTTTCTAGATGTAATTGCAGTATTTTGTTTGTATTTTTCAATGTTTTAAAACAAATCCCTAATTGAATTGTTTAATTCAATTAACAAAATTAAGTGGGAAGTGCGGAAAGAGAACTTAGTCGAGGTTTTATTATTTATTTTTAATTCTAAATTTCCAAATTGTTTTGAATAATTAACGGTTGGGAGAGCAATTTAAATGTTGTTCTTCATAACCGTTCCACTTTGTTGTTTCTCTCAAACATTATAAATAAAAGAACAATATACTGTAGATAGAAATTGAATTTAGACCACTTTACCTCTATGATGGAATTTTTTTCCGGTTTTTTTCCCCCTCGGAAAAAGGTTTATGTCCGATTTCCATCAGAGCGACTCATCCAAATGGAAATTTAATATGAATACTATAAAACAATAGTTGTACAAGATTGAATAAACGTTACGTTGAAAGAATATGTAAAAATAAATGTTAGAAATTCGATTGCTTTTCTTTTTATTTTTCTCTAAACTGTCAAAGAATTTTGAAATTTAAGCGTTGGCCCCACTAAATCACTTTCGGGCTCTTGCTTAAAAATACGTTAGGTAGCAATCTTAAACTTTGTTCAAACCGAGAAGATGCATAAAGCACTGTACATTGAAATGATATCGTAAACCCAGTAAATCTTGCGTTTCCTTAAGTTAAGTGCATCGTATAACAAACTCGAGTATTCATCGTTTTAATTACATCTCCAGTAATGTATCAGAATAAGTGAACTTTATGATTCGCCGCATCACATTTCGAATAAGATAATTTTAAAGGAACAATTTCATTAAATTATGTTTCGAATGAAAGTATTTAATTGACTTAGAATTTCGTAAACATTTTAATATAACTACAATTTCAAATTAAATTATAAAATTTTTCATTTATTCTTAAAAAATAAACAGAAATTTTAACCCATAAAAACTTGCATTAAGAAACTTTTCAATTAAGCATTTCTTTTTACACATCCTTTATTAAAACTGTATCTTTAAATAATTCCTATATTTTATTATATATAGCCTATATATTACTATATTTTCTTCCCCTCCACGAACAAAAGGAAAGAGAAGAGATTAAAAGTGTATAATAACTACAAAAATGTATTAACTGCCTTGTGTTTACTTAAATCAAATAAGCATCAAATGTTTTTGAAATAAAAATTAATTTCGCATACGAAAAAATAAATATAGTTTTTATAATAGAAGAATTTAATCGATGCTGAAGTTCTCTTCTTACAGAATTCTCGATAGTCCTATAGATCATATATAATAATCGAAAAATATATCGAATATATTTGTACGAAGGAGCTTTATCTAAAATATATGCAATAAATAATCTTCTTTTAATGTGTAATAAATACTTAAAACAAAAAAATATTTATTTGATTTACGTTTATCAGTAATGCAGTTAATATATTTTTGTTTACATATTTATATACAAGAAATAAAAGATAAATTAATGTAAATACACTTTTCATTTCATTTCGAATGGTATTAAATTATGATTTATATTGCTTCTATTATAAAGTTTGAAATATTTATATAATTTTTAATATTTTGTTTCATTTTTTTAAATCTCATATGAATTAATTCAAATATTATTTTATTTTTTTTTACGAGATTTGATTTACTCGGTAGTTTTTTTTTCTATAATTTTATTCTAGAAATATTTTACATTTTATCCAATTACACGTATATTTTTAAAAACTTCAAAAAATTGTTTACACTTATTTGATAAATTCATTTCGTCTTTCCGATATATTCTCTCGAGAAAATCACATAGGAATTAATGGAAATATTTCTTATACAAATCTCTTTTAATTAATTCGACGAATTGCTGTTTTTGTAAAAGCACGCGCCATATTTTCACCCCTTGTAAAAAAGGTGGAGAAAATGTTAAGAATTTCTTCGTAGACGTCAACTTTAAAAAGTACTACTGCAGACGAGTTTGTGTGACAGAACTGTCTTCTAAAAATTTCAAATACGAATTTGTCAAATATGGAAAGTAATAAAAAGAAAAAAAAATAATGCCAGATAACCACGATATTTACTGCTCTGCCATGGAGAAGAGAATTTCTGCATGGAATTTGATTGCATATTTTGTTGTCATGTTTCGTGCACTTAAACGTCAAATAGGAAAGTAGCGAATGAATAATGAAATCACATATATAACATGCAGGCGCAACGCATCCAACGTTATAAATATGTCGTTTCTTCTGGGCACTGAGTCATTTTTAGATGACATTTTCTATTTAATGTTCATGCCGTGAATCAAAAGAGGAATTTAATTAGTTTGTTGAAAAATTATTACCTAAACAGCGAATAACAATATAAGCATAAATAAAAATATTTTTCCTTATTATTAATAACATAATTGAAGAATTCATGCGAACTTTGTTATGATGATATATGAATCTCTTCGGATAGGTGAACAATGAAAAATATAGATAATAGCTTTAGTTGAACACGTGAATTCATGCGTGTACATTATGATGTATGTATATAGTTAAGATTAAACATCATTGATTTTTATTGGCTATTTTAAATCGTATTTAATTTAAAGATTTAAAAAAAAAATATATATATATATATATATATAAGTTGAAATGATAAATTTATATATTATTTTTATTTACTTCTATCAGAGTTTAATAAATTCTCGAAGAGTACTTAGATATACTTTCACATCTCGTGTCGAAACGGTCATCCCCACGTCTCTCTGGCATTGCAGTCGGACATGTGACAAGTTCTGACATTGGAAGATGTCTATTTGCCGGAGTCCCCGAGGATTAAGAGGTCGGAAAAACCCTCTATTCTTCTGTCGAAAGTATTCTGTCGGGTCAGAGTTTCTATGTAGCACCCGCTCCTAGATCGATAACTCTAAAAATATCAGATTACTAGTTGAGTTTTCTGGATTTCTAACTTTGTTGACAAAACTTGTCCATGTTTAATGTATAGGAAATTTAATTAAAATGGCAATAAGTGTAAAATGTTGTTATAAACTCTGCGAGGATTTTAATCGAAATGAAAATAAATCAATTCATATTATTTTGATTTAAAAATTCGCTGTTTAGTTTTATTTTAAATGGAATTTAACTAGTTTTAATGAATTCCCACTAAAGAGAATTCTCAAAAACTAATAAATACTAACAAAAATCACTATTTTCTCAAATTTAAATCGTTGTCAATAATCAAATAGGCTGAAAAAAAAACTCAGAAATTAAAAAATAATTTAGATGAAGAAAAATGAATGGTAAACACCTAAAAGATTAATTATTTTAAATTAAATATTTAATTAAAATTTGATTTTTCTTATTAAATAAGCATTAAAAAACAGTTAAAGTTTTGAAGTTACTAAATGCAATCAACTATTTTTATTTAAATTAAGAAAAATAATTTTAAAACTAATTTTATTCTGTACAAATTTTAACGATGTTAAATGGTATACTATAGTGATTTAATCATAGGTTAAAGAAAATAAAGTAGACTACAAAAAATGAAATATTTTAATTTAAAAATTTTATACTAGAATTTTCAAAGATAAATGCTGTTTTAAATTAGAAAATAAATTATAAAAAGTCTATTATACAAATAAAATTCTTGATTACAGTATAATTGCACACATTTTTATACGTTTTTTTTTATTAATAAAATGCTGTAGAATCTCGTTATGTTGAACATTTCGTGTGGGTTGAATGTATTTTTTACTATAACGTTTCCATCTTTTAACTCTTTTTTCTTTCTTTCTTCGTATCATAAATATCATCTGCCAAATAAAGCTTCATTTTACATAGAAAATGCTACACTCACAAGTCAATTTACTTACAGAATAATACGAAAAAGAAATATCCAAATTTACACACTTTCTATCTGTAAGGGGGTAAAAAAAGCCTTAGAATACTACTTAAAAACTTCTGATGAAAAAACTAACTTCGTGAATCGCCACCTGTCACGGTTTATATTGTATCAGATATGGAAAAATTTATTCTGGCTCAGCATCTAAGTTATTACGTGCCTTGTGGCGTGACTATACCTGGATTTTTCTTCACCTGTTCGCGCTTCTGTTTCTAAATCTAAAACGAGTAAAGATCGCTGGTGAAACCGGGAATTCTTTCTAACGCTACCAATTCCATAAATGGAAAGCAAACACTGAATTTTGTAAATTTAATAAAATGCTGAGTCGATTGTGTTTTT